TTATTCCAGCGCCTCAAAATACACTTTTACTGCTCGTTTCTTTGTAATAGCTTGACTTTGCATACCCCACATCGTTTTGCTTAGGCTTGATGCTTATTTCAATTCAGGACCCCATCTAAGTGGCTTTGCTTGGTATAGTCACTACTGAGAGGCTTAGCCTTTTAATGAAAAGTTTGTTTGTCTATTTTTTTTTTAATCAAAGAACATGTTTTGTAAAACAGAATAAGGTAAAAGCAAGGAAGAATTCTAGAGGCTTTTTCCTCTTCCAAAATACTCCATTCTCATTGCAAATATCGTCTTACACCTCGGCATGCTATAATGGTGGTGCATTTTAAAAAAGTTGTGAAAGCATAGGGTGAAAATACATAAGGAGTTCATTTTTGAAATAAATTTGAAAAGCCAAAAACAAAATGATAGGTGCAAAAGCAATTCAGCAATAATAAGACCTGAAGCCACTTTGCATTGATGAATACTCCAATCAAATCAAGCCCCCCAAATAGGGCCCAAGGTTGTGCATGACTTGCAATAGCATGAAAGCTTGTGGCTTAGGTTGGTATGTATTTGGCATGTGTTGTACTAGGATGCCATGCTCTGTAGAGATATTTAACAGAGCCACAGTTGCTGCTTTGCTTGCCTGCAGCTCATAACCCAACTAATCAAAGAGTGATTTGCATCTCTTAACCCATTGTACTTTCTTCAACCTCTGTGAAGTTATGAGAGGTTACAACAGCTGCTTCTTGATAATCTTGATGACCAAATGAAGCCTCCGAGTGGCTTTCTTCCAGCATGTCCAACCTTGAATACTTCACTGCTGGAACCATTCTCCTATCAATTAGCAAGTAGCCATGGGGTGTTATAGCTTGCAGATTTTGAATATTTGCTCAAGTTGGCCTTCCTCATATTTCCACAAGGTTCCTACATAGCCTCCGGTGGCTTTGGGTCATTCTTCCACAGGTGGCACAATACGTCGTCGTCGAGCAAGTCATCAAAGCACGTAATGACAGTAGCCATCTACTTTCCCCTTCGTTTTGGCAAGGGGTCCTTGTCAATAGCTTGCCTCTTAGAGTTTTGTCATGTATCTCGGCGTGTAAGATCTTCCTTAGAGTATGGCAAGCAGTGGTGGATGTTGCAGGTGAAGAATGGATGAATATAGGAAAATACGCTTCTAGCACCCTTTTCTTGAAACGCTTGACATCGCTTCAAAAATTCTGATTGCT